ATAAATAAATATAATTATAAAAGTAAGCATTAGTTTTAATATATACTCTAGGCAAATAATTTTAATTAAATAATTAATAAATTTAAAATAAATTTTCTTATACAAAATAATTATTTAAAATAAGAGTATAATACTTTCAACAGCCTTTATAGCCCATATATAAAAAGTCCTAAATATCTAAGTGGTTGTGTAGTATTGTTGTGTATCACGGAATAGACATGACATCGTTTGGATTTGTGGCCGTCAAGATATTTTTTAAAATAGTGGACTAGTTTCTTCAAGATATTTTCAAACACTATTGTTTGGATTTGTGCCGTCAATGTAGATAGCTAGAACTACAATTACAATCTAATCAAATTGAAGAGGTTGATCCCATGCCTCAGTACAGTGGTCACAACTTTTAATTAAAGTGATGATCATTTTGGTGAGTGTGTATTTAAATCTCATAAATTTTATTTTTTATTCTCCCAAATTGTCCTGTTAAAAAGAAAGAAATTGAAGAGGTTATTTAGATTCATACATACAAATTGATTGAAAAAATACCAACTGGGGTTTGGGACATTTCATTGGCAGCAAAAAAATTTGTTAATTTAGGAAAACTTTTTTAGAGCAATAATGTGAAGACTAATGAGTGTGGAAACAAAGATGCCTGCCTGCTTGATCTTAAACCCAACCACATAATGCACTGTGTATTAAGGGCAGACAAAAAACCAACAACTTTAAACAAAATTATATTTAGTTTTGTGAAAGTTTTCCCCTGTCTTTTAGTATTAATCTCCTGCTTTTTAGGGTTTATGATTTAATCTTTTTTTGATTAAAAGTTAAAATTTTTGAATTTAACTGCCGCAATATGCCTGCGAGTAGAGATAATTATATCTATAGTTGTATTAACTCTTAAAGGCCACTTGGAAAGCAGCACAACACCCAACCTATGGGTTGGGAATCACAATGCCCTACCCCCAACGTTGTATGTGTTCAAAAATTCAAAAATTCAAAAAAAAAAAAAAAAGCGCAATTATATTTAGAACTCAACTACCAAAGGATTGTCTTTTCCTTTTGCTTTTTTTGTTTTCTTTTATTTTTTTTTTCCACCAGAAACAAAGACTTTGAAATGGGAAAATGAGATAGACCAGTAGCTCCTGGCGTGACGTTAGGATTAGCTCAAATACACATTGGGCTAATTCAAAGCATAACTTAGGATCATCTATAAAGAGCGGCTCCAAGGAGCAATTCAGGGACACAAAGAACAAGGAAGAATGGCGCGTTTAAGCATTTCTGTTCTTTCTCTGCTCTTAGTACTTTTGCTATCAGTTTCTTTGGCATCTTCAACTCCACGGCACAAAAAGAAAAGGCTAACTTCAATTCCCATTCCAGATAGCTTTATGCAATGCCTTGACACCAATTCCGAGTCCTCCATTCCTTTCGCTTCTTCATTTTTCACTCCAAATAATGCTTCATTCACTACCATCCTCCAATCCACAGCCCAAAACCTCAGGTACTTAGTGCCTGAGGCTCCAAAACCCCAGTTCATATTCACACCCCTGAATGAAACCCATGTCCAAGCTGCTGTCATTTGCTCCAAACAGCTTGGAATTCCTCTGAGGGTTCGGAGCGGTGGCCATGACTACGAGGGCATGTCCTACGTAGCAGAAATTGAATCACCCTTTGTCATAGCAGACCTCTCAAAGCTCCGATCCATTAATGTTGACATCAATGATAACAGCGCCTGGGTTCAAGCCGGTGCAACAATTGGGGAACTTTACTACAGAATTTCCCAGAAAAGCAAGACACATGGCTTCCCTGCCGGTCTCTGTACAAGCTTAGGCGTTGGTGGGCACATCACCGGAGGTGCATACGGTACCATGATGAGAAAATATGGCCTCGGCGCTGACAATGTCATTGATGCTCGAATTGTGGATGTTCACGGAAGAGTTCTTGACAGAGCAACCATGGGTGAAGATCTTTTCTGGGCAATAAGAGGTGGGGGGGGTGGAAGCTTCGGAGTCATCCTTGCCTGGAAGGTAAAGCTGGTTCTAGTTCCGGAAACGGTAACTGTATTCACTGTTCCTAAGACCTTGGAACAAGGCGCCACAAAGATCCTCTACAAATGGCAGCAAGTTGCTCCTCAGCTAGATGAAGATCTCTTCATCAGAGTCGTCATCCGAGCTGGAAGTGCAGGGCAGAAAGCACAGAGAACGATCACAACTTCATATAATGCCCTGTTTCTTGGTGATTCTCAAAGGCTTCTTCAAGTAACGCAACAGAGCTTCCCTGAATTGAATTTGACAAAGACAGACTGCACTGAAACCAGCTGGATCAAATCGGTGCTTTACATCGCCGGTTACCCGCTCACCACCCCACCGGAAGTGCTTCTCCAGGGGAAATCTCTGTTCAAGAACAATTTCAAGGCCAAATCTGACTTCGTGAAAGAACCTATCCCAGAAACTGCCCTGGAGGGACTATGGGAAAGGTTGTTGGAAGAAGAATCTCCACTGATGATATGGAACCCCTACGGTGGAATGATGAGCAAGATCCGAGAATCACAAATCCCTTTCCCTCACCGGAAGGGAAACCTGTTCAAGATCCTGTACTTGACCACATGGCAAGGCGGTGGGAAAAACATGACCAATCATATGGACTGGATCAGGAACCTGTACAACTACATGGCTCCATATGTTTCCAAGTTCCCTAGGACAGCCTATGTGAATTACAGGGATCTTGATCTTGGCATGAACAAAAAGAACGGAACCAGCTTCATTGAAGCAAGCTCTTGGGGTGTGAAGTATTTCAAGGACAACTTCAACAGATTGGTAAAAATCAAGACAAAAGTTGATCCAGATAACTTCTTCAGGCATGAACAGAGCATTCCGCCTCTGCCACTCAACAGGAGAAGGGAAGGACAATTTGTGTAGTATCTTTAATTCAGTACTAAACTACAAGATAGCTGTTTGTCTGTTTTGGAAGCAATAAAAAATATATATATGTTTGTGTGAAATGTGTGGCAAATTGTGGTGTCAAAAAGAGGGGATGTGATGGATTTTTCTTTGGAGTTATATCATGTGGTTGAGGTTGCAGTAATGATAGCATTTATGTTTTCAACTAATATGAGTGAGAATTGAGGAATTTTCAGTGTGGTTTTGAATTATTTGTGAAAAAGTTACTCGGAAGTGAGTCAAGTGACTACATATTTATCACTCTCAACTGCTCTTTTGTTGGCTCTAGCCTCTTATTTTTTTTTTTAAGACACGCAATGAAGGCAAGTACCTATCTTTGGACCAGAAAGAGACTACTTTTTTGACTTATTAACTATCAGTCAATTTTGGCGCCTAAATGCTGCCATAATGATTATTATTAGATTTGATTTAAGTGATTAACAAATCTTGCCTTGCTTCATATTTTCTGTGCCCAAGACAAAATCAGAGTTGCACTACTGGAAGGGCTAAAATCTATGTTTAATCTTTTATTTTATTAAGTTTAAAATTGTTTATTTTTTATTTTATATTATTAAATTTTTAATTTTTAAATTTAAAGATTGAAAGATTTTAAATTAATGAAATTTGTTCATTTTTTATTAAAATAAAAATAAAATATTTACGTGATTAATTTTCAAAAATTAAAAATATAATAATTTAGTTTTAAAAATTTTAAAATTTTAAAAAGTGTAGATTAAAAAAAATTAATAAATGATTTTCTCATATATACTAAAATAATACTAGATATCTATAATTAAATACAACGATTAATTCAATTTGAATAAAGAATTCTACCTAAGATTAACTGAAAATTTTTAATTGAGTTAAAATAAAAAATCTAAAAAACTAAAAGAATACAGTCAAGAAATTTTTTTAATCTTACTCAAATTTCTTTTTTCAATTTAAGTTAATCATTCGATTGAATTATAAATATCTAATATTATTCTCGTATATATAGTAAAGTCATACATTAAGCATTTTTAATTTACTAATTTTTAAAACTTTTAAAACTTTTAAAATTAAATTATTACATTTTTAATTTTTGAGAACTAATCCTGTAAATATTTTATTTTAAAAAAAGTTAACAAATTCTATTAGTTTAGGGGGTTAAAATGTTTAAAATTTTAAGTTTATGAACTAAAGTTTTATAATATAAAATAAGAAGTTAAAACTATCAAATTTATTGACACGAGGAATTAAATGCATGTCTCAACCACTAGGAGGAGGGGAAAGTACTGAATTAATAAGCTGCAGTCTTCTAGGTATGCTCAGGAAAGATTCAAGGTGTAGAGACTATAGAAGAAAACTAGAAGTTTGTTGGATGATTAGTTGATTTCAGTTTGATTATTTAAAAAAAAGTCTATCTTCAATTTAATTATTATTATTATTATTATTATTTGTTGTTTCAGCTTATAGTTCTCCATAAGTTAATAATGAAAATGTTTATTAAAAATCAAGAGTTTTTTAGATTGTACTTTTAGAGTACAAATTAAGAGTTTTAAAAAAATAAAATTTAATATTTAAGTAATTAATTATCTAATTAAATTTATTTATATGATTATGGTATGGGAATTAATATCAAAATTTATATTTTTTTATAAAATTTATGATGAAAAATACTTTTAATTTGTATACTAAAAATATAAATGATAAAAACTCAAATATAGCAATGTCAGACTATTTCCCACCCTCTCATCCTCCAAATCATACCTGTTTTAAAAAAATAAAATTTAATATTTAATTTATTAATTATCTAA